CTCAGTAAACTCCTGCCCTGGCATTAAAAAGAAGAAACTGTGGGTCAGAAGCTGGTTTTGCCTTAAGGCTACGGAGGTGGTCGGGGTTGAAGTGCACAGTCCAACACACAACAGGTTGATATTCAGCCACCCGGACTGGCACACAGCATCCTTCAGGAGCTCCTGCCTCCAGGTCCCGGCTTTTGAAGAGCTGCCAGTCCAGGGCGGCCACCACGGCGGCTCTGCGCAGAGCAGACCTGCACGCACGGCACCACCATGGCTACACAGGAGGAGACCCAGGGGAGGCAGAGGGAAACAGGGGGGACCGACCCCAAAAGGGGCACAGGGAGCAGAGCAGAGAGCCAGGAGCCACCCCAGCATAGCTACGGCCACGGACCACCTGCATAAAGCGGGACAGGCCGGCAGCTATGGCTGTGATGTCCTACCGCCCTCGCAGCCCCTTCCCCTTCCGAGCAAGGCAATCGCCAGCCGGGCCGAGCTGGGGCTTTTCTCCCCCCCTGCACTTCACCTTCTCAAGGTCACCTCCTCGTCCCACTTGTTAGCGAGAAGTTAGGATTTGCCCTTTGATTTATTTAAGCACTGACAAAGATTCAAAAGTAGTGGAAGTGCAATTTTTCACCACCGACTAAAAATAGCCGAGTGAAATTCCAGAGCTGCCTTTCAGCGCCGCCGGCTGCGCTCGGCTTCCCAGGACAATGGCATTTGTAGCCTGCTAGCAACAACAGCGCAGGCTGGGCTCCAGCTCCCGAAATAACAAGTTAGAAAGGGCAAATTCTGTCTTTAATTACAGCTATACAAAAAGTAGCGTTTAAAAAGAGCATTATCAGAGGATCTGAGTACGCAGTACCAACGTAGAACCGAACCAGGGAACGCAGTAAGAGCCGTCTGGACTTACTGCGCACAAAATAAAAATTCAGCGGGTATTACCGAGGGTGTAAGGCACACGCAGATGAAGCATTCAGAAAAGCTGAAGCCCTTTGGCACGAGAGGAAAAAAAACCAAACCAACTTGCATTCAGACAGCAAGCAGAAGCTGATCATCCGCGACAAGCGCTCAGGTGAGCCTCCTCGCAGCTTGCTGCGGCGGTGTGTGCCCAGCGACACGCCGCTTCCGAGCTCAGGTGTGCAACGGCGCAGGGACGGGACCCTCGGGGCGCGCTTTAAACCTCTCCGAGGTGCAGCGTAGCAGCTCCATGCCACGTACTGGAAACGACACTTTTATGTCTCCTCTTGATTCCCAGCTAATGAAGACTGGATTCCTTCTGGGGTGACATTACTTGAGAGCCCCCAGCAGAGCGGGCACGCGGGAAGCCATCCTGCCCAGCTTTCCAATACAAACCTGCATCCGCTGATCACTTGCGGAGACTCGGCCCCGCCGAACTCCCTCCGCATTCCACGCTGCCGCAACCCAGCGTGCCGACGGTGGTCGAATCTCGCGGGTGAGAGCGCTGCAAGCGATGATATATATTATACGCCGGGCAGAACCCACCCGCCCCGACACCGCGGTGGCTCTGCAGTATTTGAGGCAAAGTAAAAATGACTGTAAATCAGCGCTTTCACGTACAAGACAATCGGGGTGCTAACACTGACCCCGCAACTGGGACAGAAGCAGGTCTGTGACAGAAACTGCTTTCCGAGGGGTTAAGGGGACCCTGTGACCTTTTTTAAGCAGGTACGAGAAAGAAAATAGCTTCACCAGGTTTCTCTCCAGCGGCCTCATCTTTCTGTACGTTGCGAAGTGCCTCCGGGAGGAGTTAGATGCGAGCCCCTCTGCGGTCGGCCAGCTGGAGGGGCCAGACGAGCACAGAGGGACCCAGCACACGGCTCCGGCGGCTAGACACACTTGTGTTTTCTCACTGAAACGTGAAGGGGAAGAGACGTGAGAACCAGCCGAGAAGGTTAGCACGTGAGGAAGGAGCGGCTTCCAAGCCCGCCTGGCACAGAGCGCTTGTGACGCCGAACTCGACAGCTCTCGGGCATCCCTCGGCAGCAGCCAGGCTTCCCTGTCCTCCTTCTCCCTCGGAACAGAAACTGAAAAGCAGAAACCAGGTTTGCTGTTGGTGCCAGTAAAGGGTTAACAGAAATACTTCTGTTTTTTTGAAAACAATGTACATCCACATGCCTGGTAACACCAACTGGTGGGACTGCGTGGGTAGTCTTCTGCAAGCAATAGCTTCTCCTGTGACATGTGCTGACTGATGGGATTCTTTTTTTCTTTTTTAAATATTTTGTGCTGATCTCAGCCTGATGCTTTTATCTGCACCACGAGCTGAGCAGCGGTGATCAGTTTTCTGTACCGAGGCTGCAGACAGCATGAGATGCGTGCAGCAAAGGGGGTTTGTGCATCATTTTTATTTCTGCTCCAGCAGAAACGTCACTTCTCCAAAACTCCTGCTATCCGGAGATTGTGAGCCACGCTCTGCCGTCTGCTACAACTGCAGAACAGCAGCGCGAAGCAGTGAGGACAGCAGCCAAAATCCACCCGAGCTCCCAGGAAAACCTATTGCTGTGTGAGCCTGCACGTAACAGCAACGGGCAAAGCAGCTACACGGCACCGATCCTGTCTCTCCTCTGGCACAAGAAGGTGGATGCTCAGCTTCAGCCAGAGAATCGCTGCTAGGCATGACCAGCTGGCAGGTGATTTAAAGCATCCCTTAAAATTCCTGAGATTAATGATGTCTTTTGCATGTCACCTCCCCAGCTAGGGAGGGAGGCAGGTCCTCTCTGGAAAGTCATCCAGACACCTGGCTCAGACACAGGAAAAAAAAACCAAACCAGAGGCAGCAAGGACACTTCCCATCCGGATGTGTCCTGCACTAAAAGGCAGGGCAGAAAAGGCTTCTTAAAAAAAAAAAATGCCCTGGTGTTCTGTGACTGGACTATTAAGGGCGTGTTTCTGCATCTGCAGGGTATTTTTCAGCTGCCTCAGTTGTTCAGAAGACCACCTTAGGTGACGCTCGCAGCACAACTCTTTGAACTTGGGTTCCTGAGGTTTTCTCCCCTCTCTTGAAGTTAGATTTCTGCTACAGCATAAAAGAACAACTCAGAACGATGAAGAAACAGGATGTTCTCAAGCCCAACTATGAAACAACTACCTCAGAACCCAAGTACTGACCTGAAGCTGGCACCGAGCTGAGAGTAAAGCAGGTGTTCCCTGGACTAAAGAAAATAAATCAGGAGTCCGTACTATATTCTTAAATATGGTTTAATACTCTTCTCCATTTCTGTACATCACAACACCAAGATATCACTGCTTGGGATCTCTCTGCAGAGGCTATATAGTATGCGAAGGCTAGGATTTTTCACCCCCGTTTAACGTGTTTGTATGTGTAAGTGTAATACATATCAGTATATATTGATATACACATCAATATATAATGCAATATATATCACTGAAGAGAACACATTGATTAAAGAAATACAAAAATTTGGCATCATTTCCAAACTTAAATAGTAAAAATAAAAACTACAAAAAGGAGCTGCATACCCTAATGTATCATGTGAAACAACAAGCAGTATATTCAAAAAAATGTAAATTTACATCCAATTTTTCTGGTCTTGTCATGTCACATTAGACCCATTTACAATGGCAAAATCCAGAGCACACCGCTGTGAAGACCGCAGACCTGCTCAAACCTGGGTTTGCACAAATCCACGGCCGACCCAGTCACACCTTCCGTGAGAGATTCCAGCTTTGATGTGAATTCAACAGCAAAGCCATCTGCCAAGTTATAAACCAGGGTTACGAATTCTATTGCTCACAATGACAGTAATTTTTGGACCTCAAAGAACAGCGTGGCAGAAGTTTTAAGACAAGCTCCCCCTCCATTCAAGTGAAACAGGATTATCAGAAAAAAAAAAAATAGGCAGGTATGCAACGTGGAACAGAAGCTGCTCTCGACCGATGCGCCAGGAGTGCCGGAGTCGGTGAAGAGCAGAGCGAGCAGGCACGGCGATGTCAGTGCCCGTCAGAGAGCCCAGTAACCCCCAGAAGGAAGCAAGATTTGTGCATTATCTCGTGCTCACTTCAGCCTCTGCCTGCCAGACCCATCTGAAAAACCCTTAGCCATTTCTAGTAGGTTGAAATGCATTCTATATAGCGGGCGTGACAAAAAGTTTTCTGGAGTCTTGATGCAACCAGGAGTTTTAACCCATTCAGGGCACAATTAGAGTTCAGCATCAGATTTACAGGACGCTTGTGAGCCAATACAAAAGACTGCCTTAGTGCTGGGAGATGGATGTCCCCGGTGGGTCGTGCTAACGTTCAAGGTATAGTATCAAATGCTCCAGACACACCAGTACTAAGGTTTCTGTCAAGGACTCCACTTACTAATTATTCCTGCAAAATACCCGCTTCCCTTAAATAACTGTGGGTTCAAATTCACATAATCAAGGAAACCTTACGCAGTCCTAAAGCCAAAAGAAAAGAAAAAAAAAAAACTTACTGAGGAACAAAACAAAGCAAAGTGTACCTTACTTCACTTAAATCATATGTTTATTTTTGTCAAGACTGAAAAAAAAAAATAAATCCTGAAGGCTGCACTGCTCAAATCCAAATTAAGCCCAAGACTTCAGCAGCATTTTCGTTGCAATCAATGAAGTGCATTTCCTAGTTTGTAAGAGCAGTGCTTCTGCACACAGATTAAAGCACGTTTGGCTGGTAAGCCTCCCCAAACCATCTGAATTTGCAAGCCACACATTATAAGCTAGCACTCTGGGTAAGTGCCTTCTCATTCTTTTGAGGAGAATGAATGGCTCCGATTTCATTACATTTCTTCTTCTGCAGTCTAAGCTGAGAATGCCATGTAAATGGGTCACGCTGCTGCAAAATGCAGCAATTGATTTCTCCAATCAAAGTAAAAAGAAACAAACCAGTAGGATCTTACTTCTATTAATTTTTTTGAAGGAAGAGGTTTACAGCAGTTAATGTATCATGAAGGTTAAAAAAATCATTTTCATAAAATACAAGAGCAACCAATTTCACCATTGAGTAAAAGTAAAAACTGGGATTCTTTTTAAATTAGTCCGAAGTGGCATATAGGAACTTAGTAGTTTGCTGCTGTACTGACACTATGACAAATCAAAGTGTAGGGTTTTGCTTTTTTATATCCAATGCTTGTGGATCAAGTTCTGGAAATGTTCCAATTCTAAGGCAGGGATCTGTTGTGTTTTCCACCATGAGTTTGCTCCTTGGGTTGGATGCTGGAGGGGCGAGGCACGTTTTGCCGGACCCAGGTCGACTACCTAGTAGTCATCAAGGTCAAAAAATTCATCGTCTCCTCCTTGGTATTCCATTCCCTGGAAGTCCACTCGGTACCGCAAGATACCTGGTAAAAACAATACGCTTCAGCTTCTTCAAAATTCAAAGAGCTACAAAGGCATTTTAAGCAGTTTACTGTCCGCACATCAAGAGTTCCTCAATTAAATTTTCAGAGGCTGACTTAGCACTCGGACTGCAAGCTCGGCTCAAACCGATGACCGACAGCAGACACATCCCCGTTACAGCCTGATGCGATTTATCGCCAAACGGAAGAAATACCTACCTGCCCAACGTAGGCCAGCTTTCGCCTGGAAAAGCTGAGCCTATTCTAGGAGGGCCGTATCTCCAAAGAAATACCAGCAAGAGATCATTTGTCCTAATAGAACTGCTCAGGCAAAGGCCTAGCCGTTAAATTCGGAAGGCAGCTGGCACAGAAGTACCTCTTAGAGTGAGGGCACTACGTAGTGGCTGACTTCCTGGGCTCTTCCCACCCCAAAAACCAACCTGGGTTTCTGGGAAGCCTTTACCCCTGGAAACATTTACTTAGGTGAAGGGTATTCAAGGAGCATTTCCTTTCAAGTCTACAGAGACCAGAGCATGGTGGCAAAGAGCATCCCCCCACGCAAAGAGGCTGGAGCCGGCAGGACAGGAAGGGCTCCTGGAATTACAAACCCTGAAAACTTGGAGACCCGTTGCTCCTTACACAGCCAAACAATTGAAGCCCGTTTCCTTCCGATCGGTGTTCTCTGGCCTCTAGAAATTCCTCTTTACAATATGCTCATCTCTGGTTTACATCCATCAACCCAAACACAGTAAGTAGCAACAGCTTATCAGCAAATGAGCAACAGCTCTGTTCTGGAATCCCTAGCCTGGGGAGAACAAGGAGCACAGCAGGTGGTTTTGCTCTACCCTGCTAACATTTTTGTCAGCCTCAAGCACATGAGCTACCCACACCTCTGCCAGTTAGCTGAAACTGGTCAGTGAGCTCAAGAGGAGGACTGAAGGATTTCAGAAGCCTCATTTCTCCATGAAGTTGGGCTAAAAAATACCTTTATTTTGAAAAGAAGCATAAGACCAGGGAGTAAAGTCCAGGGAAGTTCTGAGAGATGAGTAACAGATATCCAACTGCTTCAGAAACTAGGCTGGTGTTTGTCATCCACCACTTCTACACAGCAGGGCACAGTCTGCCACGAAACAACAACTGTGCAGAGACAGAGTGAGGCAGTTCATGGCCCTTCTGAAATTCAGCAGCTGGAAAGAAGGACAGTCTACCCTCTGAGTACTCTGAAGGACAAAGGGATCTGAGGAACAGTCAGTGACAGCTGCCTAACTTGCAGCACCATCTTGCTGAATATGCAACAAATTCACCTGGAGATCCCTGACAAACATGAGATTCTCTTAAACTGGTATTGTGACTAACTGGAGTAAGATTAATCCGTTTAGCTTTCCACTTGTGGTGGCACCAGACTATCAAATCAACCATTAAAAAAAAGACAAAACACATTTTTCTCTTGTAGTTTACCTCCAATTCCTCCAAATCCTTTCACAAATTGGGATCCTTCCTGTGATTTGTCTGTAACGATTTCCAATGTTGCTCCAAATTTCTTGTAGTTGTTTGCAAACCACTCCAAAAGGGGCATACTTTCTATCAGTTCATGTTCCTGGCCAGTCTACGTAGACATTTGAGGGGGAGAAAAAAAAAAATATACAAAAAATGTTATGGTCACTGCATGTTAGGTATTGAGAAAATTCATACCAGAAGTTGTCTTTGGCTTAAACATCACCACTGTCTTTCCAGTCCTAAGACAGAGACCCTCCAGCCTTCATGTTCCGCACGCTGGCGCGGCCCGACACGCTTGCTGAGGCAGCAGGCATTGCTGACACATCTGTAGCAGACACGTGCTGGCATAAGCAGAAGGCTCCTGGTGCTAAGAAATTACATACTGACAGGCCTTGTCTTGGGCTTCCATACTACAGAAATTAGTGCAGAAACGGGAGAGAAAAATGTCTTGTTTATTCTTCTGCTCAACTCTCACCTCATGCTACACTGTTTCTTAAACCTTCCGTGGCAAGAAGGAATTAGCAGTTACTCCGCCAAGAGGGAAGGTGGCTGGAAATGCCTACCCCGGCAGTTCTACTGTGAGCAGAGACGACCACCCTTTTTGCAAGGGACGGACTTTTTTGCCCAGCTTACTCTGCAAAGTAGCACAGACCCCCTGCCCCGACAGCATTTGTTGACCCGCACAGGCAAGAAACTCGCAGGCTGTGAATGACATCCACATTTCAAATACATCTAGAAGCAAACACTCCCTTGCACTTAAATTTGCGTAACAGTTTCTAGCATCACAGTTGTTCCATATTGACTGTATCACTGCACATTAAGCAGGGAGTAATGGTTTGGGACCTTAGCCTCCATGTTGCATGGTGGCTACCAAACTCTTACGGTGGTCAAAGACCCCGTATCGCCTGTCACTTCAACTCACTTACACAACCTTGGAAGTGGCAGCAGGAAAAACTGGAGAAAAGCAAGTCTAGAATCCAGGGGTAAGGTGAACGGGAAGAGCCACAGGCACTGTCCTGAAGTCTCATCTGAGTGCCAAAAAGGTCGTCATGCTCACGTGCTTGCAACAAACTAAGCTCAGATGTTCGGAACACTGCACCAGTACACTGAGAACAAATCTACAAGCCCCAAAACTGAAATACCTCTTTATCTGTGAAGTGGGATTTATCCTTCTCTTGCTCTGGTGTCAAATACAGGATCTTCTCCTCTGAGAAGGGAGAAAAAAAAAAAGAGGTTGGATAAGACTACCAAGATGCAGGTTAAAGAGAGCAAGAAACCAAGAACAGCCAGCAATTACAACACAGAGGGTTTGGACACAGACACTGCCCTTCTTTCTGGCTGAAGCTCCATGAGAAACCAAACAGGGCACACCGGTAGAGAATAACTGTAGTGCCGACACCAAAAAGGCAGAGGGCCTGCTGTTAGACATACGGTTTGTCAACAGTCAGTGAGAATTGTGTTTCTGGCAATAAGGGGCAAGTCAGCCTCCCCTCTGTAATGCACTGGTATCACATTTACACTTACACAACCGAAAGGCGGGTTCCATGCTAGCTCTGTGACACGCTGCCACCCCAGCACAGCAATTCTCTCTCAGTGGCAGCTTGCTAGCTTCACTTTTCCCCCAGAGCAGCCGGGAAGCTGCAAGTTAGTGACCTGCCCACACAGCGTCCCCTTGATCAGGTCCGTAAAGATCTACTTAGGGAGTTTCTCCAGCACAACCTACCCAAGTGAGAGGGCTTAGGTGTTAAACCCTCAGGGACCTTTCTGTCTCGTAGAAACACTACCTACCCTCCGTGCCTTGGCAGTGCAGAACGTATCTCATTATATCCAGATTTTCATAGACTATCAGTATCTCTACTGCTCCCATTTCCAAAGCTTTTAGTGTATCTTCAACGCCAAAACAGTACTTCCCCGTGTCCTGACTGATTTCGTCGAAGTATCGTCCTGCAGCCAGGATACAAAGAAAGAGATTGTCATGAACACCGATCGTGCCACGCGGATTTTTAAACAAGCTCAATTTGAATGCAAGAAGAAACTGGAAAAGGAGACTGCAATGCTGCTGAAGGAAAAGCAGGGGATAACGATAACACATCAAAGCATGTAATTTAGAACATTCATCGGCAGAAAGTCATCTCTGTCAGGAATCTCACTCCATTGAAGGCTGTTTCACAGCGAAGGTAAATCGGACTTACCCACCAGCAGGCACTATTTAACTTCACCCCTTTCAGTGTAAGGTAGCTACTGTCACTATTGCTCTCCCATGCTTTCAAATTAGCAATGTGTCTGCTGACAGTCAAACAACAGATCGTTCCTACTGCCATCTTAAGCCAGAATAAATCTTAACTCTCATCTTGATGAAGACGCAAAAAATCCGAGGAGATATTTTTTTCCCCTCCCACCCCCAAATGTCCCCAGAAGGCCTGAAACGAAGGTGATCTCTGATGAAAGGATAACCAGGGAAGATCTGAGAAGTTTGGTGGGGAAAAAACAACACCCCACTCCTTAAAGTCTCATTGAGTCCTGCAGCTTTGAGAAGGTGGCCAGGTAACAGAAAGAATCGCTAAAAGTCATGCTGTGCCCAACTCAAAGCCTCGCAGGGCTGAGGCAGCACAGAGGCATGGCCAGGACATCAGCATATTCAGTCAGGCATATTCGGCTCAGGAGAAGGCTGAACATGTAGTCCCATACCTATTAGTTTCTTCTCTTGAATGAATTTCACATTGGAGAGGACCTCAGTTGACAACTCAATTGCTTGATTGAATCCATTTTCTCCTCCGTATGAAATGTCAACTAGTTTGAGCACTTTGGATTGCAACCGCTAAACAAGAAAAAGAGAAGACACGAAAAAGAGTCTATTACACAGCGCTGCCACAAGACTACTTCATAACGCCACAAGAATAAGTACCCGGCGAGACTCATAGCATTAATTTATCTTGCTTCACTCGCAAGCAGAGGTTCTGAGTCAGAGGGACCCCTGAATGCTTAATACTGAAGCACAATTTTCAGGCAACAGGGACACAGAGATTAGGTTTAGTGGAGTTTAATTCCAATAAAGATTCTACTTTAGATTTGAGAACACAAAGAATGTGAATGCCAGTTCCAAGCCAGGGAGGACAGATTTCTTATTAGCACTGTTATTACAAAAAGGAGATCTGACCTCCTTGCAGGAGGTATTAGGAAAGGGAGAGCTCTTTAGGATACATTAGATTTTGAGTTTTGATCAAATCACTTAAGACACCAAAGTTACATTCCTCCCGACGTGCATCTTATACCAGAGCTACTGCTAGTATCACCACGTTACTACTGACAGCGTGAACATTTGGGCTTTGCTCAGAAAAGGCCACTCACCTGATCAAACATGTCAGATTGACTTAATTCAGTTTTGAAGTCAGCTGATCCAGCTAAAACGAGACCAGCCACGTTCACCTTGTCGCCAGAAATGAACAGTTGCACAGCCGTCTCTGCTACCTTCCTTACATAGTTGTGTCGTTTCTCCATTCTCAAACGAGCAAAACGCAAGGCAGACTGACCTCCTCTACCTTTACGAGAGAACAGATGCGAGGTAGCAATTTGGAAGTCATTTCATTTCAGGAAGGTTATTAGTACACGGTCCCAACTGGGCCCCGAGTAACCGAAGCCAAGGGCAGATGCAGCCTGCAGAAATTGTTTTGCCACAAGCAGAGCCAGGGGCGCTCACTGAAACAGCAAGCGAGGAGAGGGTTCGCCCACAGCCAGAGATTTTTCTCCATGTATCCACAGAGAGAAATACGTTAGGGTTTTGTTTTGGTTTTTTTTGTTTTTTTTTTTATACAGACTCGCAACTCTCCATAGAGATTTTGACCGTCTGTGCACATTTTCTATGTCTTGTACCTTCATTAAAAGCAATTTCCTTTGCTAGGCTGCCTCACATACTTTTCTTGCTGATGCAACGCACCCCAGCAGCCTCTGCTGCAGAAATGTACTGGGGGAGACGTTCCTATTTCATTTTGCCCCATCCTAATCTACAGGGAAGGATGGTAAACCAGGAGTAATCAACAGACAATGTGCTGAATTCATCAGTAGCTCACTACAATACACTATCGTACAATGGAACTAGAATTTTGCTTGCTCCGTTAGGCTTCTGTGCTTCTTGTGAGGAACAGCTTCCTGCTTTTCACTGTGGTTTGCATGCGACACCATCAGATGCAAACTTTAAAGACACTACCAAGTGGTGTTACTACTTGTGCTAGTAATATTTAGTTAAGACTGTCCCAAAACTACGTAAAGGCTCAAATGCACCAAGAAATAAGAAATGCCACTTTAAGAAGATTAACTGCACATTAGAGTGATTCATTAATTTTGACAGAAGGCTCGGACTAGAGGCTCTGCTGTCAGATTTCAAGGGAGCAAAGAAGTGAGTAGAGCTAAAAACCTAAAGGCCAAGCTCCCTGCTTCTACCCTCACATCCCACACCATGCTATTCTGCTGCAAACAGTCTAGAGAGAGACCAGCGCGTTACCATGCTTCTTTGGAAGATCCACAGTGAATTTGTGCAGGACTTCTCTTGTGTTTCCTTGAAGAGTTCCAAAGAGTGCACCGCTACCATCTATTACAATAAAGCCAAACTTGCTGTCGTCGGAGAGCAGCGCTGTAAGAGCCTGGAACAGAAAACCATGTCATCAGCAGTAAGCACCAGTTTATTAAGGACCCTGGTTCAGAAAGGCTACCAGAAACAAGACACCTCAATACACTGTAGTTCTGCAGGTGGTCACTGTAATCTGGGATAGTCTCAACTCCCGAATCTGCTGTTCTTCCTCTAGTTTAGTTGTAAAAAATAACAAATCTCACACAATGCTGCCAAGAGCGGAAAGAAAGCTAATGTTTAAGCTTGACAACTATTTTCACAGCATTACCAGTTCATCACATGATGTCCCAGGCAGGTGTAATAGCAAAACCCTAAAGATTAACTCTGGAAAGCGTTAAGTGAAATGCATCACACCTCTCTGAGGCTGCATCACCTCGCCGGCTGGCAAAACTGGAAGAGAGGTTTTCCTAGCATTCCAGCCAGGAAAGCAGAACTTGCTTAGTTCACCAATTGGGCTAATTGTCAGTTCAGTTTTATGCTACAAAGCTCTCATATGGACTTTCAACTTGCCAGCTACCACAAACACTGGCTTGCTGCACCTGCTGACTTCAAGTCCCAAAGGTAGACTGATGAAATCTATAGCGGCTGTGACAAATTCAGCCTTACAAAGCAGAATCAAGTAACAGCAGCAATAAGGGCAATAATTGTCCTGTGCATAATTGGCTACAGAGAAGACAGTCATATCATGTGCTGGAAAATGAAGTTATCCTTCAATTTTCTTCCCTTTAAAGACGACAGCTAAATTCATCCTGTAAGGTCATTTAAGTTAAGTAACTAAAGTACTTACTAACGAGGCTTTTGAGGTACTTTGCCCAATTTCCTGCCCAGCCCCGGTGCTGGTGGTGTGGGACATCCACCAGTACCCAAACTCTACGCTCCTTTTTGGAGGGCATCTGTCAGCTGCTGTTCCCCCCCAAGGGCAGCCTGAGCGGGCAGGCAGATCCAGCGCACACACGCTCCTCTTCACTTAGACATGCCCAATAAAAGTAATAGCAAGATCCTCTTTCTGGCTGGCAAAAACACATCGGCAGGACGGAGAACTTGTCAAATTCCAGGTTGTTTTAAGTCACCAGTTTAATACTGAAAGAGTGATGGTGTTGGTTTACTGCACAGGACCTTTAACTGCCTGCACACCTGCCAGCGCGATTATTGGGCTGAATGGAAAGGATAAAAACCATCAGTCATCTTCCTCCAAAATCCACACAACCAAGTCTACAGCTTTCAAGCTTAAATCTTAGTGTCTGTTTCTTTTAATGGAATCCACTGGCCAAAATAAATATTCTGTATTAATTCCTCAGCAGTGGGATGAATGAGAGAAGGAAGTGGCATATTACATTGCAATCTATTTAACTGGGACAGGGCCAAGCAAATCGTGTGACTGGAATGAATGCTCTGGCCAAGGTATCAAAATAAGTCATTGTAAATCCTACCCTTCAGACACACATCAGGGTTCATATCCCTCTTGGAAAGTTACTTCGGTTTCACACAGGCAATAAAGTATCTAGAGGAAATCTTATCAGATACTCTTGCCAGGCAGCAGATGACTACAGCTCTGATGTTCTTGATTCCCTCTTATTTTAATAAAGTATGCAGTGATCAGTGATTCCCTCAGTTTCCCCTTCATTAGTTTATGTCAGCAATTCCACTGTTTGACCTATCAAGCACAAAAAAAGGACTATTGCTTTTATTCTGTTCCTTCAGCCTGCGCTGACTCTCCTCTTTGAGGACCACGTCCTTTTTCTGCTCCCTGACATGCCCTCACTTTCACAAGAAACATGGTGGGGTACCGAGCCAGACGCCCTATCTGTTGAGTTCTAGTTGCCTGTTGGGGGGGAACCCCGGGGTTAAAAGCACGGCTCTACAACCAAGTGAGACACGCAAATCTAGACTTCAGTCCTAACGTCACCTCGTTGCTCAAGATAGCACACAGTAGGCTTTTACAGCTAGATTTGATTCTGCAGTGCAGACAATACCAAGTAAAATAATCACGTACTCAGAAGACACAGGAGAGCAAACAGCCCATGGAGGAAGGTGCTGTTAGTAATCACATCGTGAGTAGCAGCAATTACCACAAATTCCTGTCAAGTTATTGCCACTCTCTTGCTAAGCAATGCTACACACCAGCAAGAGTATTTACAGCTGCCTCCTGGGAACAGCCCACTGGGCAGCAGCTACTTTTTTTTGTATTGAATCAGTGCCCCGAGGCAGGAGCTGCAGCCAAGACCAAATTAATCCCTTTCCTGATAGGGCAGACAGGAACCCACCACCGTCCACCCACTGCCAACAACTGCAGGGACAACCACCTCCCTCGGCTTTGCACCTCTGGCTCTCTCCTGAATTCTCTTATTTACTTCTTGCTTCCAATTGCTTATGGACATGTGGGCTCAGCAGAACTCAAGAGCTGGACACGTGGGCAGTTTTGTTATTCCTGGTAGGTCAAAGATGTATTGGGATTTCATCCTTGGTGGGGAGACAGAATAATAGGGATGTACCTCACCTGTGCCACAAGCATACCTTGCCTTCCTCTACTCCTACCCTTTGAGACCGGGTCATGGATCAGATCTCCAAAAACCCCCACAAACAAGCAGCACTACATCACCGAAGGGCCCGTCAAGTCCACATCACATGGGTTTGATGACAAGCACCACACATTTATCATGGTGAACGCCATGGAGGTGAAGGGCAGTTAGTCATCTGCTACAAATATTGAGACTTCTGCAACTGCCAACAGAGCCAAAACAGACTTAGACGCAATAAACTGACTTCATGCAGTCAAGACTAGTGTAATCCACATTACTTTAAATATGCCTCAAACCATTCATGTAACTTAAAGATAAGTAGATGTTGTATAAAAATAATCCCACTTTACCCCAGACAGATTAGGCACAGGCCGGTTCTCCATCAAGGGTCTCAGTTAACACATCTGATATCAAGCCTAGCAACGCTAATATTATCTTGGCATTACTGTAAGGCCTGGCTTGGAATAAGATCTATGGGCCTCTACGGTTAAGAAAAAACCCTGCCTCCAGTTACAGAGAAAAGCTCGTGTCTGTGGGTTACACAAACTCCGTAGTTACTAGCTGGGCCATGAAGTCCACTGTAGTAGGAGCTGGACAATATCTCAACCGCTTTCAGCAAACATCACACATTTGTGAACACTAGCCAGTCACAAGCCATCCAGTGGCTTCACCAGCAGGATGTCTTAATTAAAGCCTGCTGTTCTACAGATTGTGGGCTCAAGCATGCCGAGGATTGTCCCAGTGAGTCTAGCAAAGCAGTCTGACTTTGACTACTGCAAGACCAGCAGGCAATAGGAGACTTCTTACCTCTGTGTGGAATTTGTTGTCACACAAATACAACGACGTATTGATTGGTTTGAAAGGTTCAAAGTCAATGTTGACTTTCTTCTCTTTTCCTTCTTCTGTCACAATTGTTCCACAGTAAACAACCAGACCATTTGGAGGTACTATAAAGGACACAATGCAATTTTAGATCACTAGGAAATATTGCAAGCTGTACCCATCAAAAACCATCTACCGGGCCTTGAGACTTAAGGCAGAGTTGAAGTTCCCAAGTGTTTTACTTTCCATTTCCCCCACCTCATACCCTCCCAGATCTCTACAAAAACATTAAAATTAGTGCAACTATACTGAACAGCTTAGAGCAGGAAAGCTAATGGTAACACTGGTGAAAAGACTTACAATAAAGGGGCAAGAACATGTACCTGACTGTTAAACCCATGAGCTTGCAAGCTCATAGAATCCAGAAAAACACTGAACATCCCTGTGAAGCTTCCCTTCTTACACAGTGATTTATAGACTGACCACCTCAATGAAGGCCACTTGCCAGTGTTAAGACAGTAACAATGAACTCCTTTTAGATGGCCGGGGTCCATTTCCTCCCAAAATCACAGTAGCTGCACAGTGGCATGCATAAGGCATACAAAAGTTTCTGCTTGATGGAAAACCACTAGTTTAATGCAAGTGAACTATTGTGGAATAGCTCTTAAGGCTGGCCAAGTTTAGAAGAGTCAGCACTGCTAAGGACAGAATCATGAGCCTGCTTATTAAAAACAAGGACCCAAAGTCTACCCCTGATCCATGGGCCATGTACTTGGAATATCAGTGCAAAACAGCAGCAGAGGCCAACAGATTTGATTAGCAGGAAACTGCATAATGCAGGAAACTTACGGCTGCTTTCATGTAAGGGAAGTTTGCCAGCATCCATACAAGCTAGAAGTTACCTTTGTTATAGAGTTTCAGTCTTTGCTGTACAGATGTAATGGCTCCCAGTACTGAAAGGCGATTCACTCGAGACTTAATGTTGGAGGCGGTGCCAAACTCATCCGCTAACATTTTTGCCACTCGCGAAATCTGGTCTTTGGGGGGAATGATCAACGATATCATGCTGGTACCATTGCTGAGAAAGGAAAAAGAGGGGTTGTGAGCAGCCACCAGCCAAAGCAACCAGTGTATTCCTACCATCTTCCATGCACGCAGCTGTCTTTCCTCCCTCCCCCCAAGGATGCTTCGCTTCACTGTTATCTGTGCAATTCCCCTTCTGCTGGATAGTCATGGGAGAGAAAAGAAAACAAAACCAGGCTCTTCAGAGGATTTGACTCCATAACCAAGTGTTCAGGTTAGCCACTACCAAGCAAGTCCTCCAAAAGCTGCTCATTTTACCTGGGATACTACTCTGGAAAAGAAAAAAATGTATGTACAGGCTAAGGGTCTGCAAGCTAAAGGCATGTAAGAGCTCCCCAGCAGAGATTATTTCAAACAATGCAGCCACATATTTTAAGGACATTTTTAAGCCCATTCCATTTGTTCTCAGACAGCTGGAGCACTAGCCAGCCCAAGTGCTGTTTTAACACTTTGTTCTCCTCAGATTAATACAGAAAGCTGAACTGGAAGGATCCTTTTGTACCAGTTAGTCTTTTCTACTACCCTACTATCACTCTGCTTTATAGAGAAGCTCAGCAACTCTGGCAGCTGCTTTAAATAAAGTGTGCTTAAACACATGACTGCGAGTTCAGAAGCACCAACCCCAGGCACAGAGTCAGTAGATAAGACCCCGCAAATCACAGAACTGGCTTAAATTAAATGAAAAAAACTAAGTTTGATATTCATTTTTCCTACAGCTTTGGGGTGGATCCTGCAGAAGTCTTAATCCTCCAAGCAGTCTTGTAGTTCAAATACACCCAAAGCCAAAAAAAAAAAAAATCCAAAAAACGGGGAAGTTCCTGTCCACCTTCCACCTCCCATTTGTCATCGAAGTATCCCAGATGTCTGAAGTGCTGCTTCTGCATTGTCTCAAATTTAACCCAGACCTCATACTTCACATTAGAGTAATGGCATAAAAATCAAATGCCTCATCACGTCCTCTAGCCCCCTCAAGGGCAAACTAGCTAAGCTCTGTAAAAAAACCTCTACTCAGGATTCTGAGTCAGAACACCAAAGTGCTTTTCCACCATAAAAAAAAAAAAAAAAACCAACCACTTTTGGTCTTTTAGATTTCTCATGGCAGGACAAGACTAACACAGTACCTGCCTGCTGCCGTTTCGGATTGTCATGCACCAGCATCCCGCCTGAAGTGTTTGGGCTACAGAGACAGCAGGGAAGTGCTTTATAAAGCACCGCTTCGTTAGCCTCTTTACAAAAGTTGCACAGCCCTCTTCCAAAGATCTTCAATTCAGGCCAAGTTGAAACGGATGCTGGTAGGTCAAATAAGTCCCTGACCTTAAAGACAACTAATTGGTTTTAATATCCAAGATCCCCATACACACTAATCAAGAAAGTCACGAAGAGACACTCGCACGCATTATTCCCAGAAGGAGCTTTGAGCCATGCTGACAGCTATCAGACTTCCAGGTCACACCAGCCAAGAATACTCCGTATACCACTCAATTAAAGCAGTTAGCTACCCCAGTGAATAGCACAAGCCTTAGGGGAGATATAATGGCCTATCATTCCCAGCAGGCTCCTTTGAGCAAGAGGCTGATCAGAATGAAAGCAACTCTTCCCGATTTTTCTGAAAGTAGCACTCTTGAGGCAAGCTCACGCAGTTCAGTTCTTCCTCTGAAAGAAGAGATTCTCAGCCTTCCCGGAGATCAGAAAGCTCTGCAGATCACGCCTAACTTGCTGCACGAACTAAGGGCATCCCGATGTGGCAGGTGGGAGAAGGGACCATTGTGCCCCTTGGACACTCCACAGCTCTCCTGCTAGGAAGAGATTTCATGGGATTTTTTTCCTGTGTTGACGACAGAGGGCAAAGAGCAGATGGTGAGTTAGGAGAGCAAGTGGGAATAGCAAGGAAGACGACTGGGTGTACCCTCCCAAGACCAATTCTTCAGCAAAAAAGCACTTGTAAAGGTGCCTGTAGTTTTTCAACACAAGCCACCCCTCAAATCCCAGCCCCTGGCCTCGTGTTACGTTCCACTGCCCCAGAAACACCGGCCGGATTGACGCGGGCATTAGCAGAGCTGCCGGCCAGAGCGCAACTCTGCGTACTGTGAGCCGGCTGCATTGTACCAAACCCACACCTTGAAGGGGCCACCGTAACCGGTGATTATTTATATTACGCAGCGTCTTATCTATAAGGCAGAGTCACATGTGTCAGTCAAATCACTGTTCCTTAGCAACACCCTGCCCAAAGCACCCTACCCGAGGTAATACAGCGGACTTCACAAGCCCTCGCGATTTATTACTGCAAACAAGTAAATGAAAAGGGTCTCTTAGATGATGCATTCTCCCTCATTTGAGTCTCCAACTAGTTTCACACAGCACAGTGCTGTGCTCAGTCCAACCCTTCAGCAAATTCCAGCCTGGATTTATATCCAAAAGCACCTTCCACTACCAACATCAAGTGCATTTCTTGGGTTTGACATTCTTTTGCCACTATTTACTCAGCCAAAGCTATTTCAGGCACTAACCGATTCCTGCAGAATCCAGCAAAATAGCAGCCTTCCATGGGAGCAGCGGCAGCCCTCGGAGCACCTCGGGGCATCCCAGGCTGCTGGAGCCTGGAGCACAAGGAGTCAGCTGGCTTGTCACCCAGTGTCACCGGGCACCCAACACCCCGAGCGGGGCAGCCCCTGCCGGCACCCTGCTGCTGCCGCCTGCTGGGTACAGCTAATCCACCCAACCTAGCAGTTCATTAGGCAGCCAGCTAATTGAAGGTAGCAGTCAGCACACCCCTTGCTCATCTCCCTCTTCATTAAACAAGCACATGGGCAGGATCTGATCACTAAATCAGATCATATCCCAGAGAGGTTGAGACCAGCAAGGCACCAGCTGAAGCAGATCTGCACACGAGTGATGAGGACGGCCGCAGAACTCCCTCACACACTACTAAGACCTTGTTATCCTACTGCAGAAGAGCAGCTTTCCCCCTCTCAAAACAAGCCGGTTCCTGTACATGATCCTACTGCAGGACGGCAAGCTCTGAAAACCTGCAGCTGCATCTGTTAAATTTACCTCAATAAGGCAAAATGGAGCAAAGAGTTTCTCAGAAAACTGCAGTTCAAACACACTTAGAAAAAAATAGGCTCCTCTGCATAGCAATGCAAACTCCAGGTTTCCTATCAGTCTTTGCAGCCACTGTGCCTGAACAAGACGACAGGTATTTCTGCAAAATCTCATGCCGCCTCCTGCTCCATGGCTGCGCTGGGTTCTAGAACACAGTTCCTCTGGGAACGAGGTAGGGGAAATCACGCTGAGTACGACCTCCCGAAAGGGGCCTTCCCAAACAGCAGACCTCTAAAACCAACAGGCTCTGCTGCACACAGCGGACATTTGCTGCCCAGCAGGCCGTTGCCAACCACAAATCCTCTAGCGAGCACACTGTCAGACAGAACTTCATTACAGAATTGTTACAGTGAACAATTAAGTAATCAATCTAGATTAAGGGCAGTGCTCACACTGGCAGCTCGGGATCGAACGTGCAATGAGCTGGTTCTTCCCCGTACCATCCCCAGCGCTCCTGCAGGAAGGGTGGACCCGAAGCACTCCAGATTATATTCTGCTCAGCAGGGTCCCCATTTCAAAACGCAGCATTGCTAAGAGGTTCCCCCCGCTGGTTTTAGTGCACCCAAGACAAATTATACCAGATCAGCTGGAAGCTAATGCTTTCAGACTGAACTGAGCCAGGAAGTTTTAAGCAGCTAGAGACAGTTGCTGTCCCTATTCTGGGCTGAGGAGTGCCTGCACAGCAGCCAAATAGCTGCCATCGTAACGCAAGTACGTGCATCGAGACCCGAAATGCTCTGAGATGTTTGCTTTGTAAGAAACCCGCCATCCCGGAGCGCAGGACAGCATGACACCCGTACCACTGCACAAGGGACTGGAGAAGAGAAAACAATTAAAAGCATTAAGGGCACCCATCCACGCACTACAAAGAAACAAGGGGGCAATTAAGTGCCAACCTCTGGCAAGGTAGAAACCCTTCACTGCCTGGGTGCTATGGTTACTGCTGTGCCAGCCCTGCCGGTAATTGGCAATTAGCTCCGATTTAGCATGGCCTGGAAGGTACCAGCATTAGGTATCTCTAGGATAGAAGATGACAACCAGGGCTCCAATTTTGCTCCTAAACCACTGCAGCTGGGCTCCAACCTCGCTCCTTCAACCTGTCAAGACAGCTGTTCAGGGGAAGGGGGAAGCAAAACGAAGCATGTTTTGCTCTCTCGAGACAGCAAGTTCTTTAGAAAATGGAGGTTTGTGGATAGGACAGCCTGTTCTATTACTAAAACTTCAATGTTACTACAGTTTGAATTTCAGACAACTATGCCACAAACCAAACAGCTCTCCCAGTCACAGAGAGGCCTAAGAGCAAACGTTAGTAAGTTATCACAACGAGCGGCAGCTTGTGCGGCACTGAATCATCACTAACCTAGCCCTGAAAAGCCGAAAGGGAAAGTTTTGCCAATATTCCTGCAAGCAGGTATGATGGCATCCAAGCAGCTCGTTTTCCCTCCAAGATCTCCCTGCGCTGGCTGAGAGGTATGACCCACCAGCATCTCGCCATGCCTCGTGCCAGCTGTGGTGCTGCAGACCAAGAGCAGCACCGTTGGGCTCCTTGCAGAAGCCAGAGCAGGGATTTCACAGAAGACACCTGCACCAGCTGGATTGCTGTACCGAGTCCCAAGCCACGCCTGGCACCAGGAGCGGTGCCCACTGTGTACGCGTTTTATGGTTCAGCATGAGGAAGCCACCACAACAGAAGGCAAACGCACAAAGCGAGCAGTGTATCACATTTGAAGTGAGCTGCCAAGTATACTCCACGGACGGTTTTCATTACAGCTGGCAGTTGAGCCTCCTGTTCTGGGTGGCCATCTTCATCTACAGGGATTCGGTTTCTACTCTTTTGCCTGTCAGAAGGAACAGCTGAGCAGATCCTTAGACCTTCAGCTTTCAGCTGAAAC